GAAAGACGAAGTCAAGCACTTGAATTATTTTTGAAAGAATATGTTATAGATGTGGGTGATTTAGAGGATTTTACAAATTCTTACAGAGAACAACAAGAAAGACTGCAGGCATTAAATATTGAAAAGTGATCTGGATTTTATTAGATTTACAAGTATTGGGATTTTTATATAGAGTATATAAGCTTAACTGTAATATTATCTGTAACATTGTCGTTATCAATTTTTTATTCTATATTTATACACATATTATCATTATTATTTCTTTTTAGTGTTTCTTTATACAAATTTGACTTAAAAAATAACTATCGATTACAGATACTCTAGCCATGGCGAAAAAGATTCTCAGATCACGTGATATTTGTGTATGTCCGGAAAAATTCTACAGTAATAAAGGGTTATTGTTAAAGGTTACTTTAAAGGTTATGGTTATGGTTAGGGCTAAGTCAAGTTTATATGTAAAATTGCCTTCCCGAGATTTTGATTAGTTTACCAAGCTAGATTTAGAAATCTGTTTCCTGTATTTATTGCATTTTTTCATTTTCTTGTGTCAGATTTGTTTTGTTGGACTGATCAAAATTTACGCATTTTTATTGGTTTGTATCACTAGAAGATCAAAAATTTACATACGTATTCTTTGTTGGTTGCCACGTGATCAGAGAATTTTTCGCCATGCTAGGGTACAACGCATATGTCATACAATTTTTGTTTAGGAAGCTTATGTACAGTGTCCTTAATGGTTACCGTACGACACTGATCACAATCCCCCCCCGGTTATAATATTTTTCATGAAAAAGACCCGGATACAATTCATGGAATCATGTTTTAGAGAATTGAAAGTACCTAGATATTATAAAATTTATGGGAAAAAATCGATTAATAAAATAAAATTTTATTATAGAAAAAATTTTCAATTTTCACTTTATTTTACTATGCTTTTTTTGGTAGTTTATTTAGGATTGTGTATGTATATTTATTTATAATTAATTAAATTTTGACATTAAACAATTATTTTACAATATATAGACAAATCTCCCTAAATGCGCCCTCTTGAAACCATAGCAATGTGTGCATTTAGAGAGGGTGTGCATTTATAGAGGGCAAAATATATAGAGCTCTTATGAGCTCAGACCATGTATTTAGAGAGAATTTGCACTTATAGAGATTGCATTTAGGAAGGTTTGTTTGTAATTAGATTCACGTGTACAATTGCATTATTTATATCAATTCACAATAGTTCAAAACTGAATTATTTCAATATAAATTCATTTTTGATTCACTTGATTTTTATTGTCTCATCCCATTACACAAATAATAATTTAGTTAATGATAAGGAATATTAATGCTAAAAATAAAAGAAAATTAATAAGGATAAAAGATGTAATAGCATGTTCATATGACATCTTTAATTTTTTCTGTGTTATTAATAATATTAGCATATTTGTCATTAATTTCTAATTAATTAATGCTTTCCGATTAGAGATATTAAAAAGCTCATCGAAGTCGGTCTTTCGAGTTGATTTGGTCCAGACAATTTTGAGTCAAGTTTTACTCAGAGGGTCCATAAAAGACAAAGTCCCAAAACTCATATGACAATCAGGTGCTATCTTATATACAGTTCCGGCGGAAAGTAATGGCGGACGTGTTTTTTTACGTTTTTTGTAAATATTTCGGGAAGGATTTATCCAAATGTCATGAAAATTTGTATGAAAATTTTTTCGAATGCCAAAAACAAGATTTGCTAAGGTCATAAAGCATATTAACATAGTAATATTTTGCGTTATTTGGTGTCAAACTTGGCGAACTGGGGGCATCTTGGGGGTACCCCCATTAAGTAGATTAAAAACATTATTTCAATAAGTAAGATGAAAATATTTTTATGAAAATATATTTGAAGATATAAGAAATATATTTGCAAATATTAAAAAATTTTTATTTCATACTCATTGAATAAATGGCAGTCAAAAAAAGGCTTAATTTTGATGATTTTTTTAATAAATCAAAGTCAAAATTATGAATTACGTATTAAGAAAATTATCAAAATTAAGCCTTTTTTTGACTGCCATTTATTCAATGAGTATGAACTGAAAATTTTATAAAGTTTGCAAATATATTTTTTATATCTTCAAATATATTTTCACAAAAATATTTTCATGCTTGCTTATTGAAAATAATGTTTTTAATCTACTTAATGGGGTACTCCCCAAGATACCCCCAGTTCACCAAATTTGACACCAAATAACGCAAAATATTAATATATTAACATGCTTTATGACCTTAGTAAATCTTGTTCCTAGCATTCTAAAAAATATTCATACAAATTTTCATGACTTTTGGATAAATCCTCCCCAAAATATCTACAAATAATGTGAAAAAACATGCCCCATCAACACTTTCCACTGGAACTATATGTAATTATTTCTCGATAAATAATGGTATTAAAGAATGCTGAACAAAAAAATCTTCAAGTAATTTAAAGAATGTACTTTATTTTAAAACAAAGTCAATTAAAACTTAAATAAATATTAAAGAAAATTATTTGTTTATTACAAAAAAGATGCTGATTTTAATTATATATTATTAAATTTCTATTAATAAAGAGGTGAGATTCTCATTAATAAAAAATATATAAAGCATTTTTTCGTCTGTTTGTTCTTCACGTTCTAGACTATTAATTACTATATTTCCTATAACTGAATATCCTTCTTTTAAAGAAATTCAAAGATCTTTTGAGAGCGAATCTCAATATATAACTACTAATAATACAATCAAAAATATTGATAAACAGAAGCAAAAACTTGCACCTGTTTACAATTATCTCAATGTACCTGAAGATGATACTCGTACTTGCAAATCTTGTAATAAAGATAAATGGGGAGCAGGCATATCATTATCAACAATCACACATCACTTCGAACAAAAATACACACATATCTTTAGAGATTTTTGATGAGTTGGCACAAAATTTGTTCATCCCTCTCCATATTCAACAGTTGATGGATATCGTGTAGAATTATTAAATTATAATTTGTTACAATGGATTATAATTAGTCAGCAATCCTTTTTAGTTATCGAAGAGAACTCCTTTATTAAATTTATTTTTAACCTTAATCCATGTTATAAAATTCCCTGCTGTTAAACACTTTTTGAAGATGTTAGAAAATAATTCGAATTAGCAAAAATAAAAGTAAAATATCTTTTAACAAGTAATCAAAATAGATTAGCTCTTACCTTTGATATATGGACCGCATGTACTCGGTAGTCCTTTCTCAAAGTCACTATTCATTGAATTAATATTGAATGAATAATGCGTACTCTTCTTCTTGATCGTATTTCTTTACACAATGCTCATACTGGTAATTATCTTGGTAAGAAGATCTTTGAGCTTATAGAAAGTTTTGAAATCAAAGAAAAATTAATTGGATTTACTGCAGATAATGCGTCAAATAATTAATTATCTTCAATGACATATAAGTTCTGAATTTATATATGTGTATTATGCAATACATGTTTTAAATATCATCATTAAAGAGGATCAGAAATTTTTATGCAAATCAAATAAAAAAGGCACAAAATTTCTGCAGCAAAATAAAGAACTCACCATTACTCTTGGAAGATATGAAAAGAATCTCCATCATCCTAGATCATCCTTTTCTTCATTCTGAACTCGATGTTAATACGAGATGGAACTCAACTTATCTTATGCTTGAACAACTTATTGAGATTCAAGATGTTACTAATGGTCTTGTGCAATCCTGTCCTAATTTAGGAAATGACTATCTGGAATCTGATGATTGGGAAGTAGTTAAAGCTTATCTATCCTTTTTATAAGGTAATATTAATACTTTCAAATACTTCATTACCTTCTCACGGATCTTTACGATTGATCATCCAAAGTCTTTTTGTACATCTAGAACATTATATTTTGAATGTTAGAACATATTACAAAGTGGCCCAAGGAATGAAACCAAATTAGTAAATTATTGGTCTCACATTTCACTATCTTCTACTATTCCCTCCCTTCTCGATCCATTAACTAAGCTCGAAACTTTTAATAAAGAAGATTGTCAGTTAGTTATAAATCAATTGAGAATTTCTTATTCAACGTATCAGATAGATGAAATGACGATGTTGTCCAAACAGGAAAATTTTTCAAAGCTAATTAAATCAAATGAGAGTGAGAATATAACAAAGAATGAATTAACGAATTGAACTAGGTGCCTATCTCTAATTAGTTTCAGAGCCAAATATAAATCCGTTATTGTGGTGGAAAACCAATTCCTCTCGCTTCTCAACCGTTGCTTCTATGGCAGCAGATTACTACGCACTGCAGGTTACAAATGTTCCATGTGAGCGTGCCTTTTCCGTAGCAAAACACACGATTAATCTTACAAGAAACCATCTTCTCAAGCAAACAACAAGGGTCTCATTATGCTTAAAAAATTGGATGGAAGCTGATATTATTATAGAATAAATAAATTCCTTTTATATTGGCATTATGATTTTGTTTGCTATAAAACGCTGTATTTTAGAGGTTTTGTTATATAAAATGTGGTTGACTTTATCGGTGATTATATCTAATATCACTTGATTGCTTTATCGGTCTGTCACATGATGACTTTATCAGTAACGATACCTCATGTAACATGATAAATGAGTCTGAACTTCGAACCTGCCTTTAGACGGAGTCATAATTAAAACTCGACTTCTTGAGTCGAGTTGAACCAGACCGGACTTTTAACATCTCTATTTCTGATACTATTATTAATGGCTATAAAAAAGCAGTATAAATAGAAATATTTATTTAGATTTCCCATTTTCAGTGAACTCATTTAGAATTGTGTCGATTTAGAATCAATCTAGGTTAATTTCAAATCAATCCAAGTTGATTCTAAATCAACACACATTTCGTTTCAACTTATAACATATACACCACTTGGACAAAAGTCTTGGACTATTGATTAAAAACATACATAATTAGATTTAAATTTAATAGTTATTAGTTTAACTTCTTGTAAAACTATATACAATATATTATTTACATGTATTTCAAGTTGACAATACACCTATTCATATAGTCGAACAAAATTTTGCCTAATTTGCCAAGTCAATTTCCAGACTTATTTAACATCTATGGTCAGAAAATGCATTCGAAGTCACCCAAAATTAGTAAATAAATATAAATGAATTGGAGTTTGTTTTACAAAAAGGATGTAACCAATTACCTGATGAGATTTTTAATTGATAGTGTGCCTTGTAGAACTGAAGCATGTATTGCAAATAAGGTTGGCCAACAAAATATTAAATAAATATATCGATATAATTTTAAACTAATAACTTTAAAATCTTAAATCTAATTATTATGCGAGTTTTTGAGTAATCAATACAAACCGAGTGTCCGAGACTTTTGTCCAGGTCGTGTATGTAATCTTTCGTGTATGTGTAACAGTTGCATTTCGTGCAGGATTACGCGGTGGAGATGTTACTTTGACTGGAGTAGTTTGAGTTCTATTTGAAGCTGAAGAACGTGAAAGTCCACGTATAATCCTTGTGATTACGAGTATGTTTGAATGCTTATTCGATTAAAATATTAAATAAATTTTATTTTTTATTCGATGTATAGACATTTATACGTACGTAAATGAAATACATGCAATTCTATTTTGTATCTCTTTAGATACACACAAATGAAAAGATTCTTGATAAACAAAGAACCCAAAAATTTTGAAATTCCAGATTTTCATGTACGTATAATATAGAGTCGCACGTGTTTTATTGGCTAGTGTGGATACAACAACATTGTTACATTATTGTTGATTAATTATGCACATACAAGAATTATGCTACAATACGTGAAACATTTCTACGTACGTATTCGTGAAAGACAATTAAACAATACTATAACTGATTCACACACAAATATTTTCTATTTATGAAAAACAAAGCTATTTTTTCATGGATAATGCTTCCTATGAATTTTGCGTTGTTTGTGAGTCTATAAATTGAATTACATTCCTAAAAATTATCTTTCGAATTTTTTTGATAAAACTTAAATACGTATAAATATTACCTTCCTCTTTATTTACTTATTGTTGCAAAATCAAATCATGCATGTCTCCTATACAATAGGAAACAAGACAGTAGCTGATATTCATCAGCAAAAATTACCTATCAACGCAACTTCCCCTTCAGAAGCACCTGCAAATCCGAAAAATTTTATATACTTTACATTTGCGGGTACCACTC